TCAATAGAAATGTGACTATATTCTGCATCACTTTGAATTGCATCACCATCATCATGGCCTGCTGTAGGAGGAGAACTAGGACCTGCTACAGTTATACCTAAATTAATTGCATTACATAAAGTAAATGAAAAGATAACCCAAAGATGAACCCAAAAAAAAAAAAAAAACATTACAACTATGAAAAAACAATGACATACTAGCATCATGATAAGAACTAGGTCCTGTATTATTTCCTTACAAATTATAACAAAAAGATTTGAGCTTCCTTTTGGCCTCCATAGTCTCCTCATATTCATTATTTGTTAACTCAGGGATATCCATAATAGGATCTTCATGCCCTCCATCAGCTTCTGCCACTTATTCCTCTTTAAGATCATCATTATGGTCATCAGCCACATTATGACTTGTTGATACAGCTACATGTTCCTTTTTGGCACAAGCTTTATCTTCCTTTTCTAACCAAACACCTTGTGCAATAATATCTTGTCTAGGTTCATAATAATCCTCAACTATACTCTCCTTTTGGCTTTCCTCCAGATGAACCTCACTATCAACCTTTTTACCATTAGTAAGACCCTTAGTCTCAACCCCTTTACTAGCATTAAATCCCACACCTACATCATCAATTTCCTGACTCTTGTTTACATCATCACTAGGTGCTGGTAAAGCAAGAAACTATTCAACCATGAAAGGGAAATCCAAGATATGAATTATATATATGTGAACCTTATTATGAACCCTCATTATCTCCAAAATTTCTCTAATTGAAGCATCACCAATTACTTGCTTCAAGCCATTACTGAGTGTCTTCCTAGGTTCCAAATACCTTATATACTCTACTATATCTGGATCATAACATGCTATTGAAATCTTTTTGAATAACTCCATCACATTTAATTTATCTATGTCTATAGCTTATAGGCCAGTCCTAGCACTCTCCATCAACATATTCAAGTCTATTATCCTTTATTAACCTACTGCCTATATGAACAAACATCACATGCTTCTCTCTCCCCCAATTACCCTATTCAATAATGCAAATAAAAAATTCAATATTTAACATAATAAGTGCATCTCAATGACCAAGCTTTACAACAATAAACAATAACAAATTATAGGAACCATTGCTTTCATACAAGTAAATACACTGACCCATGAAAAACACACAAGGAGGACACCAGATGTCCCTTTTAAGATAGCAAGTCAAGAAACAGAGATCTAAAAACCCCACTTTACCCACTTTCTTACTGCACTCATCAGACACCAAAACAATAACAAGACAACATCACCCATTAAGCACAACCTTCACACATCACAAAACAAGATTCGTGAACAAAAAGCGTACTTCATTCCCGTTGCCATCTGAGTCCCCTTCCAAGTCGATATCTATGATTTCTCCAACCATTGTTGCTCAACTTCTCTTCTCATTCAATGATCAATCACAGCAAATGACTAAGAAGATTCGATTGTAAAGTGAATTGACAAAAAAGAAACAATTTTCTCTATGTTTCAAACTGTTTTTAAGATAGAAAAGGAAAAAGGAACAAATTTTTAGGGTTTTAAAAGGTAAATCATTTAAACTTCCCCTTTGTTTAAGATTGGGTATTTTTTTTTTTTCCCGTATGAGAAAGTGACATGGAGAGGTGTTATTAAGTCCAAATAAGCTCCTTTATACGATAGGACATCCACATCAAATGTTCCCATTAAGATAACGTGTCATGCGAGTAAAAATTAATGAAAGGACTAAAAGGGGGTTGAATTTCAAACCTAATGGACCAAAAGAGGGATTTTTTCAGTTTAGTGACTAAAAAGAGACTTTTTTCAAACATAGAGGGACCAAAAAGAACATTTAACCAAAACTTTAACATGACAATATTATAACTTAAATACGTAATAATTGACCTATAAAAAGCTAGTGCGAGATAAGTCATGTGCTTCTTCAATTCTATCTTGTATGATACTGTTCATACTTTTTTCTCTTTCGCTTTTCCTTTTTTCCTTTGTACAATTTCCGTTATGGCAGTGTTTACTTGATATCAACGCTCATGACATTTCAAGGACTATCATGTTTCATTATACCATATCCAACACTTTCACTTGGAGTTCAATTGATTGAAGATGCATTTTTATGTCTTCATTCAAAATAAAAATACAAAAAATATTATACAATTTAAGCTATATTAAGCTACATTTTTTAAAATTTTAAATAAAAAACAAATCTTCTAATATTGAGAGCTGTTTTCATTCAATAATTTCTGTTTTGTAATTTAGTATAAAATAAGAGACTGCTTATAAAAATATGCAAATTATATGCAACTCTATTCCTATATTGAAAAGACGAAAACTAAGAAATAATGACAGACGTTAGGCCTAGCCCAGCTATTATGCTTATGATGAGATGCGACCCATTTTAGATCCAGCGTCGGGTTGCCTAGTTGATACGACAAGCTACCCAACTCTGAAATCTTGAGCCCATAGCCTGATTCAGACTCAAGCTTCATTGATTACTTCGCTGAACGCACCTCAAGCTTTTTGAAATTGCGAAAAGTTCTACACCCATTGTTCCATTCAAGCATTCTCCAAACCTAGATGGCTATGGACTACATTCAGAAAGAAAGCATTATACAACTCCAAAATCTTTTACTAACTGATACAATTTCCTCAAATTAGAAATGCAGAGGGCCATCGCAGGCACAATAATTTATGAGGAATTAGCTTACAGTCAACTGGTCACTTAGAGCCAAGAGCAAACGATAACTTTGGCCGCATCTTATTCTTTCCTAACAATTTCATCTGATTTTGTCGTTCTTCCTCCTCTTGCTGCTTCTTTCTCCTCATGGCTTCTTCTTTTTGTCTCTGAAGCTCCTCCAACTCCCGATAACGTTCCTCCTCTCTCCGTTGCTGCTCCATTGCTTCCCTTCTTTGAGCTTCTTCCACCTTCCTCCTGTTCTCCTCAAGCATTCTTTCTAGCTCTTCTTTTTCTTTTCGTGCTTGTTCCTGTGGAACAAAAGATTTAAGATTGATTATGCAGGAAGAAAAGAATAGGGCTAACTAAGCAGATCAAAGACATATGCTTAGGGAGAGTAAACCAGAGAGCAACATACATGATACAACAAAGAGGATTCTGCTGTATCACAGGTACACATATCCCAAACCAATGGACAGTAGTCAACTGGGTATTGGTTTGGGATTAGGACACAAATCCCCATGATACAACAGATTTTTTCTTCAACAAAGACAATGTTCATAAGCTTATACTAAAAAAATCCAGGTTAATTTAAGAAAACAGATTAGCACTCTCAAACAGAACTTCAATCTGAAGTATCTTTACCTCCTTTCTTCTAGCTTCAATAAGAGCAGCTTCCTTCTCTTTCTCCAGTTGAACTGCAACTTCATCAAGAAGTCTCTTTCGACCTTCCTCCAATCGCTTCTGAATTTCCATCTTGATTTCTTCTGAACTCAAGCTCTCTTCAACCTTTTTCTGAATTGCCTCTTCTACTCTTTTTGCAGTTTCTTCTTCTATTAGTTTCAATTCTGCTTCCTGTTGTCGCCTGGAAAAACAAAAGAAAATGTCAGGCAGGGAAAGGACCCTGACAAAGTGGGTAAACACCACTACCTTCCTGTCACAGGTGTCTTCCTATCCAGACAACAGTACTACTAAAAAATGCTTGACATGTCATGCTCCTTTCTTTTTTCTTCTCTACTCATTTTGTAGCTTTAATAAATACCAACCTTCATGATGATAAGGCACTAAATATGCTATGCTTTTAAGGCATACCTCTAACCGAACCTGATCCAAACAAACGAGTTTCAAAACTGGAGAACAGTAGATAAACGATGCATCCAATCAGATCATCAAATATAACAAGTTGAATTATAGCAGTATCTTCCTTCAGAAAAGCCTGCGGAGAAAAATGTCAAGTAACTTGCCGCAGATTTAATACTGGTTACCCAAAAGACTTCAGAGCTTGCACCAAATACATTTTTTTCAATTTCACACTAAGACTGAATAATATTTTAATGTACCACCATATAATCATGTCTGATGACCAATAATATTTAAGTGATGCCATCAAGACAACTAATTCATTAATTTAATGATGAGCATATACACGAAGAAAAACAAGAGTAAGCAAAGGGAGCACAAGGGCTGCCACTCGCACAGATTGGCTGAGTTATAGATGTTAGCTGAGGGCAGGTGCATCCTAGGAAAAGCTTAACATCATAAATTCACGTTTTCCACACTGTATCAGCACCCACTAATGCAAATCTGACAGATAACGCTAAGTGGCCACAACAGATCCTTTGAAATGATTAATGCCATACAAAAAATTTGAAGTTAAAACATAGTTTTTCAAACTTAATTTTGCCCCCCTCATGAGAGACTGATAACTATTGCCCATGTGGCTGCTCTTACAATATCATATTCTAATATCTCATTTAGGAATTTCAACTCAATAAACCAACTTTTAAATTCCAATATAAATTCTGCAGCAATGCAAGAAAAACTTAACATCTAATCAGTTCAGTTATTCATAATCATGTTCAAATGATAATGCAGAAATACTACAGTTTGAAACTAAAAATGCAGCAGTCTATCACATTATCATAAGGAAAAGCAGAAAACTTCTAAAATTTCCCTTCCTGAATGCTCCAATATATTGTTATTGGAAACGTGGAACAGAAAAGGAGAAAGAAAGAAAAGCTTAAGACAAAGAGGTGACCTAGAAGAAAGGTGAAAAGGAAAAGTACAGTACTAAATAGATATACCTTCTCTTCTCTTCTTCTTTTTTCAATTTTTCTGCAGCGTTTTTCTGCTCTATTGATCCAAGACTTGGACTAGAGGATTTATGAATAGGAGTCAATGAAGAACTCCTACTTCTTTGCCTCTTATAACGCCTCGGAGTTGGAGAACGACTTTTACGACGTCTTACGGATGGAGAACGACTTTTGCGACGCCGTGGAGTAACAGAACGACTCTTCCTTCTGTAGATAACAATATTAAGCTATTGAGAAACAGCAACATAAATTGGGAATGACTAACTACACATAACAGGTAAAGAGGGCAGCCCACCATCTTGCAGAAGTAAAAGAAGCAAATACAGTTACCTCATACATCGTTAAGAATAAGCATTGAGCTCCATCTTTTAAGACATGAAGAAGCTAATGTCACAACCGAGCAACAGAAGGACACCCATCAGCATCCATCACCAGCTCACTTCCCAACCCATAGGATGCGAGGAAATTGAATTTATTTTAATTTTCTAGTGAAGAGCATGCATACTAATCTCACTTGTCAAATACTCTATACTTCACTCCAAGCACTTATATTTGCATAATTCCAATTTCCCGTGAAAATAGGAGGCCTCCAAATAACAGATGGCCACTCAGACATTGACTATAACTTAAAGAAATCAAGCCACATAATCATCAAAGAAATCAAGCACAGACACAGATATGTTTCAAGGTAAGCATGATGTTCACTATAAAAGTCTAACTATAAATAAAGGGGAGAAATTCTTAAGAATCTTAAACATGAAACATTGAGAAAGGAAGTAGACAATTAAACAAAGAAATAGCCAAGCATAAGTCAACCAAGGCATTGAAGGCAATGTTCTAAGAAATGCTAACATTACATGGTAAACTGGTGCAACTGAACAACAAAGATGAGCATTAAATTTACTAAGAGAAATGAACTCTGTTCTACAAAGGCAGAGACCATTGCCTTGGCATTCAACTCTGTTCTTAAATTTACTAAGCTGAGTTTTATACTTTAACTTAAGTATTATTCCAGATCCTTTTATGACTACAACAGAGCCTCAACTGCACCAGCACCTTCAAATTGCCACATTAGAGTTATCAAACTGTCAGTCCTGATAGGACTTGCTTCTAGAAATGAAGGCATATGAGTAAACTCCAAGCAAGCTACAGGCTTTCCAGGAATAGAAGAGGCAGAAGAACAAAAGATTAATAGATAGGATAAGCAGCATACAGATCAACTCGAACAATTTGTGTTCCCAATCCTCAGACAGATATGTCAGTTCCAAATCTTTCTTACAACTGCTCAAAGTTATTCAAAATGAACATATTAAACAGCAACAATATCTACGGGATCACCTGCTATAAGAATAAGATGAATATGGCGATCTGCTTCTATCCCTTCGGCTTCGGCTCCTCCTGCTATACCTATGCCCTACTGGAGATGGCGAACGCCTTCTCCTATATGAAGGCGAGCGTGATTGTGATCGTGACAAGTCCCGAGGCATTGCTAACACCTCAAACTTCACACTTTATATATATTTCACTCAAAGAACACTACAATCTCAAAAGTTTTTCCTGCATAATAAAGCAATACTGTTCAATAAGTTGCAAATATAACTATACAAAAACACTACAGCAATAATTGCAAAATATCAGCCAATGAACATCAAACTCAACGCACGAACAACAGCAAAAGGAAACTGATCAAACATAAATCTTCACCAAAAGCTAAGTACGAAGAGCAAACCGATTTCACCTGAAAAATCAATTATTATTAACTTAAAAATTCATCAAAAACATTCATTTAGATACAGGAAAAGAATACTAATCTAACAGTAAACCACATAACGCAATAAAATTCGGATTATTCATCCGATAACCTACTCGAATTCAAGCTGAATCTACCAAATCGATCGCAAGCCGCATAAGAGATGAACAGTGACTTTCCTTCCGGTATATTTTCCAGGAATCTAGCTAAACAAACAGAAAAATACAGAAAATCAGAAAAATGAGTCAGGAAACAGAAGAGAAAGTTTACCTGCGAATAGAGATTGAAAGATCTGAAGCTGCAAGGTTCAAGATAGATAGAAAATCCCGAAAAACCCTAGATGCAGAAAAATTTTATGCAGAGAGAAGGTTCCTTTATCTTCTTACCTGAAATTTCAGAGGGATTTAGGTTCGTCTCCTGCTTCTTTCTTTCTCATATCAGAATCGGAGATAGACATGCATCCAAGCAGGAAACTCCAGCGTAATATATTTTGCTTTTTCTAATTTTTTTCCCCTTCAAAATTATCTTCTTATTTTCTTGGTTATATCCCCGATTCAGTCCCTGAACTTTCATTTTTGGACTAAAAATACCCTCGAACTAAAAAAAGTACTAAAAAAATCCCT